GAGCCTCTACCTCGCATAGACGACCTATTGGATAGAGTGCAGGGATGCAAGTACTATAGTAAGATAGACTTGAAATCCGGATATCACCAGATCGCGATAATACCTGAGGACCAACACAAGACAGCTTTTCAGACTAGATATGGTCTGTATGAGTTTGTAGTGATGCCTTTCAGTCTTTGCAATTCGCCGGGTAAATTCCAGCACGCTATGAATCGGATCTTCCATGACCATTTAGATAAGTTTGTTGTGGTTTACCTAGACGACATTCTGATCTTTAGTAAGTCTGCCGAGGAGCATGCACAACACGTTGAGACAGTTCTCTCACTCATGCGACAGCACAAGTATAAGGTCAACTTAGAGAAGTGCGAATTTGGCCGCACTAAGATACTATACTTGGGTCACGAAGTATCCGCGGAGGGAATTAGGCCGGAAGATGCGAAGGTGGCTAGTATTCGAGACTGGCCACGACCTCAGACAGTCACTGAGGTCAGGTCATTCTTGGGAATGTGCGGCTACTATAGAAACTTCGTGAAAAACTATTCTACAGTCGCCTCTCCTTTGACTGATATAACTCGACTTGACGCACCGTGGGACTGAAGTGATGAGTGCGAGGGTGCTTTCAAGAGATTGAAGTATGCACTCATGAATCATGAGGTCCTCATGGTTCCCGATCCTCAGAAGCCATTCATAGTGACCACTGACGCAAGCCAATACGGCATTGGCGCAGTGCTGGCTCAACAGGATGGGAAGAAGTTGAGACCGATTGAGTACATGAGTAAGAAGATGCCATCAAAGAGGTTGGCTAAGTCCACCTACGAAAGGGAACTCTATGCTCTCTACAAGGCACTTGTCCATTGGAGACATTTCCTTTTGGGAAGGTTCTTCTATCTGAGGACTGATCATCAGACCCTCAAATGGATCAAGACTCAACCGGCCCTTTCTGATGCACTCAAGCGATGGATTGAGGTCATAGACCAATATGACTTCAAGCTTGAGTACCTGAAGGGAGAGTACAACAAGGTTGCAGACGCGCTATCCCGTAGAGCAAACTACCTAGGTGCGCTAGTTTCTGAATTTGGCGTATCAAATGAAGTAACTCAATCATTGGTGGGAGCCTATCAGGAAGACCCTGTCACGATGGACATCATCCACAAACTTCAGGCAAAAGACAAGGCCACAGAAAGTAAGTTTGTGATGGTGGATGGGCTAATCTATCTTGATAAGGCCGGAGTAAAGAGATTGGTAGTTCCATCTAGTGAACAGTTGCGTAGTTTATTTTTAGGCGAATGTCATGACGCAACTGGGCACTTTGGCTACAAGAAAACGAGTGCTAACTTAGTACAGCGATTTTGGTGACCCAGAATGTTAGATGACACAAAGAAGTATGTTGAGATCTGTCAGGTCTACCAGCGGGACAAGCCGCGAACTCAAGCACCGCTTGGGTTATTGAAGCCTTTACCTATTCCTGATGGTCCAGGATTGAGTGTTTCCATGGATTTCATGGACACTCTTGTGACCAGCAAGAGTGGTAAGAGGCACATTTTCGTCATCATTGACCGATTCACCAAGTACGCTAGACTAATACCAATGCCAGAGACAGCCAGAACAGAATACGTCATCAAGTTGTTCAAGGACAACTGGGTAAGGGACTTTGGTTTACCAAAGACCATCATTAGTGACCGAGACGTCCGATTCACAAGTGAGCTGTGGAAGAAGACTGCGGAACAGATGGGCAGTCAACTTCAGATGACTTCAGGGAATCATCCCGAAGCCAACGGACAGGCCGAACAAATGAATAGAGTGGTACAACACTTGTTGAGGCATTACATCAAGCCCAGCCATGATGACTGGGATGAGCAGTTACCTCTCATCGCCAGCTTGTACAACAATGCTATACATAGCAGTATCGGCGTTAGTCCTAACCAGCTGCACTTAGGATGGAAGCCTAGATCAACATTAGACTTCCTCCTACCTGAAAACCGACCCGCTGCAACTCCAGGCACACTTGAATACGGTGTGCAATATGAGAAGTTGCTGCAAGATGCTGTTGAACATATAAAGAAAGCTCAGCAAGCAATGATTGCTTCTGAGAATCAACATCGCAGACAGTCCACATTTCAGGTAGGGGAACTTGTTTGGGTTAAGGCTAGTGAGTTAGGACAGGAGTTCGGAATATCTCGCAAACTAATGCCTCAGTACTTTGGTCCCTGGGAAGTCTTGGATGTGGGAGATGAGTTGGATGGTCCCACATATGTCATTCGTGTCCTACCACCTAGCGCTGGCCTGCTTGCTCTTAGCGCAGCACTGCCTTGCACAGCGCAGCACACATGCATCCGCGCAGTGTGCCCGTAAGTGCCAACATTGGCCAAGATCCCTGCCCACTTGCCCTGCTTGCCTATATGCCAGTGCAGCGTGTGGGCGGCCTCCCTTCAGCCTGTGACCGGGGCCCAGAGGTTGAAGCCTACTCGATACAGTTGCGCCTCTCTCATCAAGGCCTGCGGCCAGATTGAGATAGTGGGCCGATTTCCCTTTGGCATTTTCGGCCTCTCTACCCAGCATGCATTGTTGGCCTCACGTTCGAGTGCCCAGGGCCTAACTAACTCAGAGGCCCTCGGCATTTCAGCATTTGCTGAAATCCGAGACTCGGTGCACTCCAACCAACTGGCGTGCTGCAACTGTATAGACCCCACTTCGTGAAATGTTGGCATAGAGGGCTCTTGTTGATTTGCTGGCCCGCCTTCACTTAGGGCGGGCACTAGGCTTGTTGGGGCCTTAGCCCAGAACATGTACATCATGGCAAGGCCCCTACTTGAGGGCTCAATCCTCACATTCCATCCCCCTTAGCTTCGAAAGTCCCCTGAGATGCTTACTTCGCAGGTGCCTTCCCTTTTAGCTTCCGTTCATAATATGCCACCACCTGAGGAGCTGTTTCCATCAGTTCCTCCCGGGTAAACCACTGATTTTCTTTAGGATCCGTATGATGCCTGAATCTGATCTTGTACTCCCTCTTGGGCTTAGGAGGTCTTCCTCGACCCAGCGGCTTCGGAACAGTCATATCCCTGTGATCCACAATGTCGTCGATGTCGACTTGTCCATCCATGGTTGGGGGCAGCATCGATCTCCTGGAAGGGAATTTATCAGTCTCAGCGAAAGGTGCAAGCTTTGAGGCATGAAAGATGGGGTGAGTGCGGCCATAGCCGGGCCACATGAGGGTGCAGGGTAGGTGAGGGCGAAGGTGGTACTTCGGAGGTGAAGGGCGCTGTGTGGGTAACAAGGGAGAGTGTAGGGAAGAGGACACGTACCTGGAGGAGGTGGAGGTCGGCATTGGTGTTGACATCATCACTCGCTGGTAGTCAAATTGTCTGGTTGCTTTTCATTGCTGTAGTTGTAGGATAGTTGTAGAGTAGATAGGGCGCCTGGCGCCATTCACAAGAGAGAGCTACATTTTGGTTATGTTGTTGGTGTTGCCCTGTAGGGCATGAACATTGACTCACGATTCTTCTGTATCATTCTCAATTGGATGGTTACTCGGTTCCATGTGCTATCTGCTTTGGCTTTGACTACTTGGACTTCAGTGTGATTTTGCACTCTGGATTTCTATGCTTCGTCCATATTCATGTTCCTTGCATATATGCCAGATCTTATTTGGATAAGCCTGTTTAATGTTTATTTATGTGAGGCTATGTGGTTGATGTTATTTCATCTTATGGCTATCCTTTTCAGGAATATCTCGCTTGGGCTATTTATCTAAGGCACGTATTTGAGCATCTCAAGTCCAATTATCGGCTTATGGCTGTCTGTTAAAGTTTGTGTGTTTGGATTGCTCTTCAAAGAGAGTTGAAGGCACTGCGCAAAATCCACGTCTAATTCTGATTCAGAGGTGAATGGAGTGACCACTTCCCTGAGATGAGTTTCTTCCAATAGAATGGTCAATGTGTAAGGTCTACCTCGAGGAAGAAAGCAATCCTATGTTATTGTCTCCCCCGAGAGAAGGCTTTGAAGAAGTTATAATTTTGTCTTGTAGGTGGTAGTGAAACTCACGCCGGAACTTTGTTCCTGGTCCATAGTGGGGTGTTGTCCTTGTATCCTCTCTGATAAAATGACTACACTACTACTGAACAGGAGGAAAGTATTTGAGCATTGTCAGATCATGGTCCATAAAGGAAGCTACTACTACATGTTGCGAAAAGGGTAAGGGGGGGGGTGAATCCCTAACTATTTTTGCGTCAAGTGGGTTCACAAGCACAGGACGGGATAGCGCATCCCGAAGCATGTATGGTGAGGTTGTTTACTTTGACGGCAAGGGTCTGCAAGGAGCAAGTGCTGAAATCAGAGGGAGAAGCAGTGAGGTGAGGCTTGATCCTTAAGCGGGGCTCGGGGAGTTGAGATACTATCCTTTCTAAAAAGGATTACACAGCCCCTCGCCACATTATACTTCTGTCAAAGCTAGGGGAGTAAAATGTGGTACTCTCGTTGGTGTTATGTCTGAGAGTGCTAATTGTTGGCGATCTTATCTTTGATCATAACGTGGCTATTATATGATATATCTGATGGTATAAGCATAACATTATGAGATATTTGTATTTGCTTTGGGTAACTAACTAGCTTGATTATAAGGCATTTGATATTTATAAGTATTTCTGATGTCAGCCACTAAGGTGATATGTCGTTTCCATAAGTTATTATGATTACGAATTTTTGATATCAATAAACGAATTATTACCATGATATATTACAATTATTATTCCCTCTAAGCTGGGTGGTCGTAAACGGTGGAAATGATAAATTTTAGTGAAAGATGATTTGAAGCTAAGGCTTTAGTAGTAGAGATTGTAGAACGCGATTGTCAGCATAATGAGGGAAGGCGTATGCAAAGCGCTTTTTTTATGATGGGCAGAACCCAGACAGAGGGAAAGGCAACTCAGAATGCCTTATGCTAAAGAAGATCCCAATATGGCCTTACCAGTTAAAAGGGAAGGTGAATTTGAGATATCATTGCCAAGGCAAATCAAGGAACGAGAATATATCTCTTCCTGGTGGAGGATGTTAATAGACAAGGGGGTCTTCGTCTGGATCGAGTCTGGCTTTGATGATGACCAGGATTATGCAATCGTGAGGGTGACCTTATATGCATCTTCCTTATTTTTGGTCAAGCATGTGGTCGAGTTGGCACTTGGGCATGATAGCCTACTTGCAAGGTCTCTGAGGGTAGCTGAGGGAGCTGCAACAAAATGAGCAAGAGGAAGAACCCATGAGGGAGAGGAGCAGGTGGTGACCCATGTAGAGGTCAAGCGTACCGAAAAGTTTGAGCTTCCTTCAACTTCGTTAAGAGTCATCCTACCGGAGTTTCTGGTAGAGAAGTGTTTTGTAGGACAGACAAGGGTAAAGGCCACGACAAAAAACGCTTTGAAGACGTGGGAATGGGGATATGCGCGGTACACATGCGAATTGATATATGGCATGTACCTGGACCAAAGGTTTCTACCCCATAGTCAAGAACTCAAGAACATGGTCAATGTTGTTGACGCCTACGCGAGCTCCCACGATCCAGATGAAAAGGTTGTAGATTGGGATGAGGTTCGGGCAGTAGCAAACCGATAGAGGGTGCCCTGATACTTTGTCAAAGTGTGATTCTCATGAATCTGTGTATGCACATGGACATGAGGGTTAGAATAGCAGGCTAGCCAATTGTGTGAACTTAACACCATATTTTAGTCAGCAGAAACCTGAATGTATGATGTATGAGCCTATAAAACATATATGTGCGTGCTTTTAGTGCCTTATGTAGATATGTCGGATTATAAAAAGCTTCATTTTAGACTAGGTAAGCGCCTTTCAGGCTCTTGTGGTTGCTCAAGCGTAGAATGCCTAGAGCATGATCAAAGTATGAGAATGAGCCTTGTGCGTGTAATATTATGGGTTGCTGAGGGCAAAAGGTGAATGAAGGTATGACTTAGAATATAGACTTGAGTGCAGTGAGAGATCATATGAGGTTGTGATATTATTTAGGGGCGCTGCATTGACTTTGATTGTGATACTTGATTCCTTTAGACATGTATGTTGAGAATATCACCATAAGATTCAAAATAAGGTGATTGTGTTTTAAAGGATGAGTTTTCTTTTTGCCATACCGCCCTGAGTTATAAGGGTGTACACACCCATGTGTTGTACATAGGATACGTATGAAGTTTTGGTGAGTTTGAATCTGAGTTCTGAGAATCTATAGCCTATGAGAGAGAAATATGCACAACATTCTCACTAGAGGCCGTTATAAACTTTTTAATGACCAAGGCTTAGCGGGCCTTGTATCACTTTTGAATGTTTTGGATATGTCTTGAATTACTTGGATTCCCTTTGGGAGCGAATTACGGCCTGACTAGGACTGTTTCAGTTTTAACTCTGGTCAGGGAGACCACAATTTTTGTGTGATACCGGTGCCAGTTTGAGTTGAGATTGTTCAACTTTATGTGTATATATGTAATTCAAGACCATATTTGGTTCGCTTTAAAGTTGGGATATTACACCCCTGAGTATCTATTGAATTAAGGTTTTATCTGAGACTATCTGCTTGTATATGACGATCATAATCACTCTCACATGTATGAGTTTATCCTGATGTATGATGGTTTTGTGTGAGAGATGTGTGGGCAACATCTCGTGTATTGTGTATTTTGTGAATGTGAATGAATGTGAACTGTCTACTCTTCGGTATACTCGTGCGATCTGCCCACGGGCGGGTGATAGGGCCAGGTATAAGGAGAGGGGGTGCAGTCTGTTTTTGTGAAAGATTATGAGAATCCTAAGGGATTTATGAGTCTTTGAGACTCGAATGCTTACCATGCCGAATGCTTATTGATTGAGTTGTAATGAGGACCCATAAGTTGGTCTCTCAGTTTGAGTTGTTTTATGGTTAAAACATCCTCGAGTGAGGGAGATAGTCTTGTGTTTATTGGGAGACTTATCTTCAGAGAGGAAGATGTTTTAAGAAAAGGTTGTGTGAGAGTTCATCCTAGAAAGAGAAGTGATGTTAAACCTATTGAGTGAGACATCTCTCATATGAAAGGCGGTTAACAAATTTAATGGCATGGTAAGCTGGTTTTGAATGATAAGGTCTCACGAGAAGGACCAAGTTTTGCTTGGCCATTGGTGAAATTTTTGAGGTCGCAAATGTGATTTACTTTGGGAGATATCACTGAGAGGTGACTTTCTTGCTCTGATAAAGTTGGGAGGTCACGACCTTGTGAATCTGGCGGTGATTCTGTTTTGTGAAAGTGGAGAGGCTGCCGCGCTCTCTGTGTTGTCCCACAGAGGGTTGATAAATGTCTTTTATGTGTGACAGACCTTTGCG